TGATGATGATGATGTCGATGATGATGATGCGATGATCATGATTATGATGGTGTCCCGAGGAGGATGACGATGTTGATGATAATGTTGATGATGAGAGCGATGGTGATCATGATGGTGTCCCGATTATGATGATGATTATGATGATGCTGCTGATGATGATGATGACGATGACTGTGTCCCGATGATGATGATGATGTTGATGATGAGATGATGATGGTGATGATGATGATGTTGTCCCGATGATGATGCTGACGTTGATGATGATGGGTATGATGATGATGATGATGATGACGGTGCCCTCATGATGATGACGATGTTGGTGATAGGTGATGTTGTTGATGTTGATGATGTTGATGATGATGCTGATGCTGATGCTGATGCTGATGATGATGATGATGATGAAGCTGATGATGATGATGATGATGATGATGATGATGATGATGACGTTGATTGTGAGAGCGATTGTGATATCGATAGTGAGATCGACATTGAGACCGAATGTGAGATCGATTGTGTGATCGATTGTGAGATCGATTGTGAGATCAATTGTGAGATCGATCGAATGAGATAGATCGAGTGAGATCGATTGTGAGAGCGATCGAGTGAGATCGATCGAGCGAGACCGATAGTGAGATCGATACTGAGATCGATAGTGAGACCGATCGAGTGAGACGTTGGTTCCCCCCCCCCGAACCTCCTTATCACCCGAAGGGTGGTCGTATAGGTATCGGGTATCTTGGGAATTGTGTGTATTTATTTGTGTGCCCTTGGGCCCCATGCAGCCATGTCTCGACCGTACGGCAGGTTGGGGCCCCGAAGCGGCCGCTATCGAGCGATCCGAGTTGCCAGAGGGCCGCGGTCGCGCAAGCTTGGACGACCCACGCGGTGTCAGCAACCAGCGCGCAGGTCGCCGTGACACGAACCAGGCATAAGAGGATAACGGGGGTCCCCCCTCTTCTCCTCCGTAGCCGCTCCCCATGCACAGCGCGCTCATTCACCGAGCTCTTGATCCCTTCATCTCTCCCCTCCCAGGTGCGGTGCAATCTCTGAGCAATCGCAGCAGAAGTCGGAGCAGCAAGCAACGCGCTGGTTCTGCGCCAGATGGCTGCAGTGCCAGAGGGATCGGTACGTAGCGAGGTTAGCTTGAAGTCATGGCGCTTCGCGTAGCCCCACCAGCACATCCAGAAACGATCCCCAGGCGAGTTGCATTGATCAGGGGAGTAGAGCCGCGTGAATCCAGAAGCCAACCAGAAAGACCTTCGCTGATGTTTCTGTGAGTTTTTCGAAGGGATCCTTGAGCCATCGTAGTGCCCTCTTGGGGTCATGCGTGGGGGGGCTTTCTCGGGCCTCTTGGGGCTCTCTTAGGGCCCTCTTGGAGATCCCTTGGTGCCAGCTTTGCGGACATCGTTGAAACACGAGGTTTCTTCACTTAGCTTTGCCCCGCAGGAGCCTGAACCAATATGTCCTGGAGCCTTGTCGGGACGCTCTTGGGGCGATCCTGAGCGCTCTTGGGCCGTCTTTAGGGGAAGAAAAAGTGATATAAACATAAAAACTCGGAGGTCCGCGCGGATTTCTCGGATCGGCGCTGGGGCCCCCCGGCGGCGCCTCCGGCGCCGCCCCTGGCGCGCCCCGCGCGCCAGGGAGGGGTGTCCAGCGCCGATCCGAGAAATCCGCGCGGACCTCCGAGTTTTTATGTTTATTTCACTTTTTGGTCCCCTAGTCTCGGCGCAATTGTGGGTCCCTCGTATGGACCCCTTCTGGGGGGCCCTCAGCTGGCCGATCCTGGAGCTGCCTGGAGGCCTCGCAGAGGCCTGTCAGAAGGAGAAGGCGAGAAGGCACAGCGCATCGAGGCACGATACAGTCAACGCGCCTAGTAAGGACGCGCGCCTTCATCCAGGGTACCCTTGCGTCCTTGCCTCTGAGGCCCGTCCTTGCCATTTTCACTGCTCGCCCGCCGCCCAACAAAAACCCAACTTCGGTCTCCAGGGGTCTTGCGTCCTTATCACCCGTCCTTACTATACGTTTTGATTTCAGGAGGGGAAGAAACACACAGACACAATTAATCGTCGATCCCCAGGAAAATATGGGAAAACATGGGAAGTGGTGGGGAAGACAAAAACTCAGAAAATATGGGAAAATATGGGGGATTTTTTTATTTGTGTGTATTTATTTGTGTGTTTGTGGGCCTCTTCATGATTGTAGGTGTTTGAGTGATGTTGTCTGCAATTCGCTCTCAAGGCATCCCCATGTGGGCATCCCGTCGCCGGCGCAGACGTCCCGTGCCCGGCCGCCGACGCAGAAACGTGTGTGCCTGACTTTGCCCTCTCGGAGGGCGTCCTATTGGGCGCCCTCCGAGGCCACTTTTCGGCGGCGAGCGAGGGGGGGAAGCGAGAAGGGGCGGGCCTTCTCGGGAGGCTCGGAGGTCCCCCGGCCTTCCGAGAAGTTTTCTGAGCCTTCCCCCGAAGACTGACAAACACTTCTCAGAAGGCGCGAGGGCCTCTCCGCCCCAAAAAACCCAACTTCGGTCTCCAAGGGTTTTGCGTCCTTATCACCCGTCCTTACTATACGTTTTGATTGTAGGTGTTTGAGTGATGCTGTCTGCCATTCGCTCTCCAGGCATCCCCAATGTAGGCATCCCGTCGCCGGCGCAGACGTCCCGTGCCCGGCCGCCGACGCGGAAAAGTGCGTGTGCCTGGCTTTGCCCTCTCGGAGGGCGTCCTTTTGGGCGCCCTCCGAGGCCACTTCTCGGCGGCGAGCGAGGGGGGGAAGTGAGGAGGGGCGGGCCTTCTCGGGAGGCTCGGAGGTCCCCCGGCCTTCCGAGAGAAGTTTTCTAAGCCTTCCCCCGAGGACTGACAAGCACTTCTCTCAGAAGGCGCGAGGGCCTCTGAGAGGTCCCGCCGCCTTCTGAGAAGGCCTTCTCCTTCTCACTTCCCCCCTCTGGCTCACCGCCAAATTTTGAGCAGTCCCGAGGTCTCTTGAAGGCATGGTGGAGGCCGTCTTGAGCCATCTCGCGGTATCTTTGATGCCACGGGGCCATCTTGGAGTCATCTTGTCCCAAAAGACTCCCAAAGATGCCCCCGACACAGCAGCATCACTCTTGAAGGATTCTTTCCTGATTAATACTGTCTTGGTAGGTCTTACTTTCCACCAGTGGTGGGGACGGTGGTGGTGGGGACAGTGGTGAGGGGACAGTGGGACAGTGGTGGGGACACAGGCGACAGTGGGACAGTGGTGGGAACGGTGGTGGTGGGGACTGGTAAGGGCGGTGGTGAGGACGGTGGTGGGACAATGGGGAGTGGTACAGTGGGGACAGTGGTGGGGACAGTGGGAACAGTGGGACCCTGATGGGGACAGTGGGGACAGTGCGACAGTGGTGGGGGCACTGGTGGGGACAGGGGACAGTGGTGGAGACAGTATGGATAGTGGGACAGTGGTGGGGATAGTAGGGACAGTGGGACCCTGGTGGGGACAGTGGTGATGGGGACAGTGGTGAGGGGACAGTGGGACAGTGGTGGGGACAGTGGGGACAGTGGGACAGTGGTGGGGACAGTGGGGACAGTGGGACAGTGACGGGGGCACTGGTGGGGACAGTGGGGACAGTGGTGGGGACACTGGGGACAGTGGGACAACGACACAGTGGTGGGGACAGTGGCGAGGGGACAGTGGGACAGTGCCGGGGACAGTGGGAACAGTGGGACATTGGTGGGGACGGTGGTGGTGGGGACAGTGGCGATGGGACAGTGTGACAGTGGTGGGGACAGTGGGACAGTGGTGGGAACGGCGGTGGTGGGAACAGTGGTAAGGGTGGTGGTGAGGACGGTGGTGGGACAATGGGACAGTGGTACAATGGGGACAGTGGTGAGGCCAGTGGAGACAGTGGGACAGTGGTGGGAACAGTGGGTACAGTGGGACAGCACACTGGGATAGCGGTGGGGACAGTGGGGACAGTGGACAGTGGTGGGGACAATGGGGACAGTGTGACAGTGGTGGGGACAGTGGGGGTAGTGGGACAGTTGTGAGGACGGTGGTGGTGGGGACAGTGGTGAGGGCGGTGTCGAGGACAGTGGTGGGGTTCCGGGAGTCGTTTGCCGGCGGGGAGTGGGGGGTGAGGTTAACCGGTAGCGACCCCCCAGATTTTCTGGGGGGGGGGTTCTTGCCGGGGGAAGTGGGGGTGGGGGTTCGAGCAGGGGGGGATTTTCGGGGGGGGGGGGGACCCGGGTTCCGGAGGAAGAGGGGGGGAGAATTTTTCACAGCAAAGCGGCGGTGGATCATGCTCTCTCGAATATCCGTACCTCGCAAACGTGACGGATTCTTTAACCCCGAAATTTGCTTGTTTTGGGACCGGGGGGCCTCCAGAGGGAGGAAATGCGACAGTTGCGAGGATTCGGACCATCGGACCCCAGATGGGACCCACCTGCCATGGAATCCCAGGTCGGGGCGCACCCCTCCCATAAGATCACAGGTAAAAAAATGGGTGGGGCTCACCTCTGCCACAGATACCGTGGATGTAAAGAATTAACGCGAAATCAATTCGTAACGTTGGATTTCGCCATTCAAAGGCCTCAGGAAGAATGCTTCGGTAAGATGTCTGGCAGCCAATGAAAATACAAAACTAAACGCGAACCACGGAAGAACTTTTCCTTCACCCGCGGCGGGTTACGCCGAGGTTGTGTTCTATCTCTTTGCATGGCGGAATTCAACGTTACGAATGGTTTTCGCGCTAATTCTTTACAGCCACGGTGGATTCCCAGAGAAAATTGGTCAGGGCGCACCCCCGCCAGATCCCAGGTGAAACATTTGTCGAGGGGCACCCTGCCATAGTGTCCCAGGTGCAGCACGGGTTGCGGCGTACCCTTGCCATAGATACTGGGCAATGAATTTGTCGGGTGCGTCCTTGCCGTAGGATCCCGTGTGTGTGAGCGATGGTCGGGGCGCGGCGCACCCCTGCCATGGGACCCCAGGTACGAGACATGCTGGGGAACGCGAGGGAGGACAGAGGAGACACATTCTAGACGCTTCGCGTAACCCCACCAGCTGGCGGCTCTGTTCGCAAATTCGCTTCGTTCCGCCACCCGGACGCCGCTTTCGCTCCTAGACCGTCGCCTGGGAGCCGCCGACCAAAAAAAATACCCCCACCAGCACCCTGACGCGCCATTTTGGCTGCGTGTAGCTCCTTGGTTCAATCCGTGCATCGGCACTGCCCCGCCAGCAAGGTTTCGGGCCCTGCCCCGCTTCCTGGCACCGCCTCGCGCAGCCCGGCAGCTTGGGCGGCTTAGGCAGCTTAGGTTCGGCCGTCGGCCCCCCTGCTCTAGGCAATTCGGCTCGCGCGTAGCCCGCCCGACCTCTGACGCTGCTGGCGCGCTCGCCTGCGGCCGCGACGAAAAAAGTAACCCCACCAGCCCTTCTGGCTCTGGTTGTCAGCTGGCCACTCGGGGTACTGGCTCGCCGTGTCTCTCAGGAGTGGTTCAGCCTTCTTGTGCGGCCTGGCGTGTCGCCTGTCGGTCTGCTATCCTGTCCTTTGGCGCCCAGTGGCGACGAGGCCTAATTCGCGTGCCTGGTGATTCAGCTCCCTTCAGCCCCGGCGCGGCTGCTCCCCTCGGCGGTAGGTCTTGCCTGTTCGGCGCGCGCGCCGGCAATTAGGTTGCTTGTAGCCCGAGCGAACTCTGCTGACGCTGTCGGCGCCTTCGCCCGCGGCCGCGACGAAAAAGTAACCCCACCAGCCCATCCAGAATTGATGCCCAGGCGAGTTGCTGCGATCCCGGACGTGAAGCAGCATGCAGTGCAATAGCGGGGTGGGAATCCGTCACACCCTACCTTAAGAAAGGGATGATGGAGGAGGAACTGGAAAAGAGCAGGAGGAGGAGGAGGAGGAGGAGGAGGAGGAGGAGGAGGAGGGGGAAGAGAAGAGGGGAGGAGGGAGGAGGGAGGAGGAAGAGTAGGCGGAGAAGGAGGAGGAGGAGGAGAAATAGGGGGAGGAGGAAGAAAAAGGCGAACTGAAGAGCCAGAAGTCTCTTCAATGCCTCTCGGAGTTTCCTCTGGGAGTCTCATCGGATGTCTCTTGGAAGCTTTTTGGAGGCCTCTTTAAGCGTCTGTGGAGTATCTTGGCGGGCCCAGGGCCGTCTTTGAGCGTCTTGGGTACTTCCGAGATCCTCTTGAGGCATTTGGAGGGTCTCTTGGGAGCCTCTTGGAGGCCTCTCGGGGCCGTCTGGGCGCCTCTTGGGGCCCTCTTTGGGCGCTCTTGGGAGTTTTCGGGGCGCTCTTGGGGCCATCTTGGAGGACATCGATCAAAAAGAAGGGAGCTCCAAGTAGCGTCGCTCCTCGGGAGCTCCCCACATCGTCTCTTAGGCCGCTCTTGGAGCGCTCTTGGAGCGCTCTTGGGTGCTCTTGGGGCCGTCTCGGGCTCTCTGGGGCCTCTCTTGGAGCCCTCTTGGGCCATCTTGGAGCAGTCTTGAGGCCTCGGAAGGCTATCGAACGCGCACGGGTGACGATGCAAACATTATTGATTATATTTCGGTTGTTGAAGGAGTTTGGCTTCTTCGGGGCCTTCTTGGGAATCTCTTTGGCCACTTGGAGCCGTCTTGGAGCGTTCTTGAAACCTCTTGGAGCATCTTGGGAGCCATCTTGAGGCATCTTGGGCTATCTTGAGCCATCTTCGAGGTAATCTTGGGCTCTCCGAAGCCCTCTTGGAGCCGTCTTGGACGCTCCAACTAACCGCGAACCCCCCTGTCCAGATCCAGGGGAGGGGGTAGGGGGAGGAGTTAACCATAAGGGGATCCCCATGTCTTGATCCCCTTGCTGGTCAATTTTCAGAGAGCGTTCGCCGTCGCACCATCGGCTTTGCTTGGATGGTGCGGTGCATCCATCTATCTAAGTATACCCCCCCGGGCCCCATCGCACCGAGGTGTCTGGACAAATTCAGTGTGTACATCTGCCCCTCCCGGGCGTCGTCGCACCCTCGGCTTGGCTCGGCTGTCGGCGCCCATCTATCTATCTATCTATATGTGCCACGCCCGGTCGCTATCGCACGGACGTCATGAGAAAAACAGTTTGGGATTCTGGGAGCCAACACAAGGCCGTTCAGCTTCACAATAAACAACGGGTGGCGCGTGTCACCCCCGAAACCGCGTGAGAAAAACCAACGGTTAACTTGGGATTATACACGTGTCACCCCCCGAAGCCGCGTGAAAAAAAACGATTGCACACGTAGAATTCTGGCAGCACCGCGCGGAGAGTTTCGGAATTAAGTACATAAAGGGCCCATTTGTCGCGGCCCCGTGGTCGGTGTCGCACCGTTATCCACCTGCGTGATTTGTGCCGTCCATCTGTCTGGCCACCCCCCCGTCGCCGTCGCATCAAAAATAGTGCGCGTCACACATGCATAGCATTAGTTGTCCACGGTGCGCCCATCGCACGTCGCACAATTCATTTGGTTGATTTCTTAAGTGGTCCGTGCGGCGACACATCGTTTTTGCGCATCTGTCCACGACGGGTCCGTTGCCGCCGCATTGGGGAGAGCTGGTCGTGGCGGATCCCCTCATGGTAAAACCTCCCCGAAGGGGAAAAGGGGGTTGGAAGAGGAGCCTCCTTAGACCACCTTCGCCCAGAGGGCTGGTGGGATTCATTTCTTGTGAATTCATAATCCGGGTGCTTCCAGGGATCACTTTGGCTTTGAGCGAAGTTGGAGTCCTGCATTTGCCTTGCCCCGTCAGAGCACGAATTTTTGCTTCCTGGAGCTCTCTTGAGACGCTCTTGGGACGATGGTGCTCTTGGGGGCGTGCTGAAAACCTTCTGGTCTCCTTTTGTGGGGCTCCTCTTGGTGGCTCCTCTTGGACGATCTTGAGGCGTCAGCGGCCCACCGGAAGCTAAAAGATCTTGAACAAATACAAGTGTTTGAATGATTGTGGTCTCTCGGTGATCTTTGGAGGCCGTTCTATATTTATTAACACACAAACTGGGCTATTCGAGGACATCTTGGGACATCTTGGACACACTGCCCCCGCGCGCGCCCAGCCCTGAATCGCTAGGTCACCCGCGGGGGCACGAATATAATCGTTCTTCGCGCGTCGCGGCCTGGATGGGAGAGCTGCCCTTCTCCAGGAGGGGCGATGCGAGAGCGTGGGGGGGCGAAGTTGGCCGCGCGCCTCGAACCGCTGGGCCCACTGCGCGAAGCTGGGTGACCCTGGGAATCGCTCCCCCGAAGACCTCCCGGCAGCTGCCTCCCAACTTTTTTTCTGCCCCCTCCTCGAGGCGCCGGGTGGCTCGGTTCGCGGAGGAGTCCAGGGTCCGCTTCTTCCCCGCGGAGGACGGTGGGCCACGCGGGACTGCGGGGAGCGGGAGGAGCAGGCAGGAAGAGGAGGGCGAGGAGAGAGGGGTTGCAGGAGGAGGAGCGAGGAGGAGTAGGCAGGAGGAGCAGGCAGGAATAGGAGGGCGAGAGGGGGTTGCAGGAGGAGGGCGAGGAGGAGACGGGTACTCCAGAACGCGAACACCACCGTGCTGCGGAGTGCGACCCCACTCCAGTGTGCGCGGCGAGCGCCTGGGCGCCGGCCCCAAAGCCGCCCAGGCAACTGTGGGGAGCCACATGGATATGATGCGCACTACCCTCTGCTACCCCCATCCCTTCATTCCTGCACCCGCTGCGCTCGTGAGGAGAAGAGAAGGACGAGGGGTAGAGGGGGATGGAGAGGAGAACAGGCAACGCGCCCAGTAAGGACGCGCGCCCTCATCTTGGGAGCCCTTGTGTCCTTGCCTCTGCAGCCCGTCCTTTGCCGTTCTCACTGGGCGCCCGCCGCCCATCAAAGGCCCCGAGTTCGGCCTCGAAGGGTCCTGCGTCCTCTCGCGCAGCGCGGGGGCCTCTCGCAGAGCGCGGGGCCAGGCCTGCGACGGGACGCAGGAGGGGCGAACCCGTCGAAGCGGGAGCTGACGGCGAGGGGCGATGCTGGACATGTTATCGTAGGGCCAGCTGGGCGCTCGGCAGCGGGGGGGGCGGGAGGAGGAGGAGGAGGAGGAGGAGGAGGAGGAGGAGGAGGAGGACCAGCAGCGGCCTGGACATGTTATCGTAGGCCCAGCTGGGCGCTCGGCAGCGGGGGGGGCGGCAGGAGGAGGAGGAGGAGGAGGAGGAGGAGGAGGAGGAGGAGGACCAGCAGCGGCGAAAGCAGCAGGAGGAGGGAGCCCGTGTCTGCGCAGCCCTCGCTTCTGCTCATCCATGGTGCCCCCCGAGGACGCCTCTGCACATCACCCTCCGTACGAGCGGGAGCTGCAGACGAAGGCTTTCGACGGCCCGAGCGGGCACAAGGCAAAGAGGGGCGAGCTGCGCCTGTGGAACCCGGCCTCTGGCGAGGACGGCAGCGAGGAGCTGGACGACAGCGAGGAGGAGGACGACGAGGAGTCGTTCGAGGAGGGGTGCGACGCCATCGCGGAGCTGATGGGCAGCCAGCGCTCTATGCTGCTCTGGGCGGCGTCGTGGTAGCAGCCCTCGCTTGCCTGGCACCAGTACGGTAACCTGGCCCCTGGCACAGTGCGTCAGGGGCGAGGGCACCCTGGTAGTGCCGCGCTATGGGAGTAGTGCATCCTTGGTGCGGTCATCAAGCACCGGCGTGCAGCTGTCAGAAGTGCGCGTCCTCAGTCGGGAGCTCACCCAGCTGATGCGCTGTTGCCCAAGCTGCCCTTTCCGCGAAGAAAGCGCGACCTTTTCTCTCCGGCACGCTGCCGGGTGCGCGCGTGGCGTCAGCAGCGACGAGCGGCTCGGCGCATGACGAGGCTCTGACGCGTACCAGGCGACTGGCAGTGCGGTCGGACCGAGGTATAAGATCGAGTTCAGTTCGGGGAGGATACCTTGATGTTCTCCGTGTTTGTTGGCTGTTCTTGTGCATCTGGGGGGGGTACCCTCGAATCTTCTGTGTGTTTGGACCGGCGGAGGGTCTCATGTTCTTGAAGGGTATTCTTCTGTCCTAGATCCGACTGTACAGTCGGGGTGCTGAAGAAGGAACCCTTTTCGTCGGGGAGGGGCTCGGCGTTCCTTAAGATTTTCCTTAAGCTTTCGATGGGAAGTCGAAGGTTAACTTATGAAAACAGGGGCCTCGTTCCTTATGCAGGGTTCCTTGGGTCAACGCCTCGACTGTATGCACGTGCGGCGGTCCTGACCGGGCTCATCGTGGGCCAAGGATCGGTGCACGGCCCTTCTGGCAAGGCCAGGAGGGCATGTGCACCGATCCTCAGCACAGGATGGGTGCGGCCAGGGACCCTCCAGTTCAGGCGTTTCGTTTTGGTTCTGAGGGTGGATGAGGAGATCAGGAGGGAAAAAACACAGACACAATATACCGTCGGTTCCCAGGAAAATACGCGAAACTATGGGACGTGGGAAGACGAACACCCCCCAAAAATATAGGAACATATGGGGAAGCCTGTTACTTGTGTCTACTCGTTTGTGTGTCCCTGGGCGCCTTCAATGGATGCGGCCAGGGCCAGTGCATGCGTTTCGTTTTAGTTCTGTGGGTGGATGGAAAGAGCGGGAGGCGGTCGTCCGTCCGAAGCCTGTGCAAGGCGGGGTCCAGGACGGGGGATCCCAGAGCAAGGCGAACTGGTGCACGGGTCGGCGGGTGTCAGGCAGGCCTAGTGGGATGGAGGACGATCAATGGAGAGGAAGCGTGTTGCCAAATAATTTCCAGATGCCTAAAACATGTGTTAAGCATGTTTTCAACATGTAAAAACATGTTCAAACCATGTTGAGAACATGTTTCCGACGTGTTAAACACACGTTAAACTCAATGACAGGACTGTCAGGGTGTCCATTGTCGTGGCATCCCCCCTCTTCCCTACCCCCCCTCTGCGCGCCGCCAAGCCAGGTGGGGGGGTATGCGCCGATCCGTGCCCTGGGAGGCTTCTGGCTAGGGTCGGTGTTGGTGTCCCGTGGGCGCGTCCTCCCAGTGTCTGAGCAGACCTTCCGTTCCTCCCGCCCGACCGCTCCCGCACCCCTCCCTTTGCCCATGCCCGCTCCTCCCCCTGGCGGAGGAGGAGTGCGACGGAATGTCTCGTAAGGCCTCCAGAGGTTCCCCGATGCTTCCAGAGGACAGGGAACAACGCAGCAGAAGGAGGAGGAGGAGGAGAAGGAGAAGGAGGAGGATAATGATGATGGTGATGATGATGATGATGATGGTGATGATGATGATGATGATGACGATGATGATGATGGTGGTGGTGATGATGATGATGATGCTGCTGATGCGGCTGATGATGATGATGCTGATGCTGCTGATGATGATGATGATGCTGATGATGATGATTATGATGATGAGGAGGAGAATGATGACGATGGTGATAGTGATGGTGATGATGCTGATGTTGATGCTGATGCTGATGTTGATGCTGATGCTGCTGATGATGATGATGGTGGTGCTGATGATGATGATGGTGAAGATGATGTTGAGGAGGAGGAGGACGAAGGCTGAGGATGCGGATGCGGATGTGGATGATGAGGAGGAGGACGATGATGAGGATGATGATGATGATGATGAGGATGGTGAGGATGTTGAGGATGTTGAGGATGATGATGAGGAGGATGAGGAGTATGAGGAGGATGAGGATGAGGATAATGAGGATGATGATGATGATGATGAAGAGGAGGAGGAGGAAGATGAGGAGGATGAGGATGAGGATGAGGAGGAGGAGGAGGATGAGGGTGAGGATGCTGATGGCAATGCTGATTCTGATAAGTATGATGATGATGTTAATGATGCTGATGATGCTGATAATGCTGATTATGAGGTTGTTGACGACGTATTTGACCATGATGATGACGATGATGATGTTGAGGATGATGATGATGATGCTGATGGTGATGATGAGGAGGAGGAGGAGGAGGATGATGATGAGGATGAGCATGCTGCTGATGACGATGATGCTGATGCTCATGCTGATCATAATGCTGATGCAGTTGTTGATGATGATAATGATGATATGGTGATGGTGATAGTGATGGTGATGGTGATGGTGATGGTGATGGTGATGGTGATGGTGATGGTGATGGTGGGATGATGGTGATGATGCTGATGATGATGTTCATTATGATAATGAGGTGGATGAGGAATAATTTGACGAATAAGAAGAAGAGGAGGAGAGGGACGAGGGGGAGGGAGGAGGAGGAGGACAAGGAGCAGGAGGAGGAGGAGATTCTTGAGATGCTTCTGGGAGAAGAGGGGGGGGGGCAGATTGTGTTGGTGTGTGTGTGTGTGGTAAGGAGGGTCTGCTGACTGGCACATGCAATTCGCGTCTTCAGGCAGGGAGCCTCGATGTCCCTCCCTGGCCCGTTGCCAGGCTGATGCGGTGCGAGGCGGGGGCGGAGGTGGAGGGGGGAGGAGCTGTGGGAGGGTGGGGATGCGAGGACGGTTCAGGCTCACGAGGAGATATGGCCCTTGCCATAGATACAGCTACGTAGGGCCTAGTCTAGTGCATGCGCTGTCCACCACCTGATGCGCCTCTTTCTGCTTCCGTCTCTCTCTCTCTCTCTCTCTACCTCTCCTTCTCCTTCTTTCTATATATGCGTAGCACCCCGCAGCTGCGGATAAGAGTGAGGGGGCGGTGGGGACGTCGGCAGTTTGCGAGACTCTGGAGAAGCCCGCCGCAGGCGCCAAAGTTTCACACATTATACTACGAGCCCGCCGCAGGCGCCGATTTTTCGTTAAACCAATGCGGGTGGGTCGCGGGTGGGTCGCAAATGGGTCGCGGGTGGGTCGCGGGTGTAGAGGGCAGAAACTCCACTCCATAATAATCACCCCGACAAGCGAAGCCGTTTAGTAAACGCACACAAGGGATGAATCGAACAGGGCAGGGCTGTTTCGTCAACACCCAGGGCCGTTTTATTTAGTAAACGTCAATTGTCTGGTCTGGGTGGTTTTTCCTCCCTTGAGGGTGGGTCGCGGGGTGGGTCGCGGGTGGGTCGCGGGGTGGGTCGCGGGTGGGTCGCGGATGGGTGGGTCGCGGGTGGGTCGCGGGGTGGGTCGCGGGGTGGGTTGGGTCGCGGGTGGGTCGCGGGTGGGTCGCGGGTGGGTCGCGGGTGGGTCGCGGGGTGGGTCGCGGGGTGGGTCGCGGGTGGGTCGCGGGTGGGTCGCGGGTCGGGGGTGGGTCGCGGGGTGGGTCGCGGGTGGGTCGCGGGTTGGGTCGCGGGTGGGTCGCGGGGTGGGTCGCGGGGTGGGTCGCGGGTTGGGTCGCGGGGTGGGTCGCCGGGTGGGTCGTGGGTGGATCGCGGGTGGGACGACGACAACAAACAACAACAACCACCACCACCACTACCACCACCACCACCACCACCACCACCACCATCACGACGACGAGGACGACGACGACGACGACGACGACGACGACGACAACAGCGACAACGACAACGACAACGACAACGACAACGACAACGACAACAACAACAACAACAACAACAGCAATAATCATTCTAAGACTGTTCGCTCTTACTTGCCCGTGTGTCAAAACGAGGTCCCCACTCCCTCGATACCCGCCCTTGTTGTCTTCGATCACCCCCTTTGGGAGGATTCTTTCTCTTTGCGGGGGGCGGCGGGCTTAGACAGGCGGACAAACCTGAACGGGCGGACAATCCTTCGTGGGCTTACATGTGCCCGCCATTTGAATTGGTGTGGGCCCCTGTGGAGGAGGGGGAGAATGAGGGAGAGCTAGAGGAAGAGAGGGGAAGGGACGAAGGAAGATGGAAAACGCCAGGAGAGAAGGAGCGAAGAGGGGGGCGGTTGATTAGAGGCAGAGAGAACAAGAGAGATAGAAAGAGAGAGAGAGAGATAGAGAGAGAGACAGAACGCAAGAAAGAAAGAGGGAGGGAGGGGGCAGGAGAGGGGAGGGAGAAGGGAGGAGGGAGAGGAAGGATAGGGGATAGGGCAGATAGGCATAAGGATGAGAGAAGAGAGGAGGGAGGAGGGGAGGGAGGGAGAGGGAGGAGGAGCAGGAAGGTAAGAGCGTGAACGCTCGAGGAAGTCCTAGGCGAAAGCGCCTATGAGGACGTCTCAGATGGGAGCGGGGGTCCTGACTAAATTGCGGGGAAGTCACAGGTGGGAGCACCGATCCTGAGTACATTGTGAGGAAGTCTCAGGGGCGGGGGTCCTGACTAAATTTGGAGGAAGTCTCAGGCGGGAGCCGTTGTTGTAATCCGGGGGGCCAGGGGCCCAGTTTGAGCACGTAGACTTTCCCTGTCAAAAAGCACGGTGCGAGCGTCGAGGGACGCACTTTGAGTGAGAAAAAAAGTTTGCACCGGCGAGGGGGGATCAACAATAATTGTTTTCAGACATGAGAGTTCGACAACAACGACAACAATCATTTTACCCTCATACGCGATGCTTCCACACGAAACATACGAACATCATGACAACCATCGCCATCATGGGGGTGGTGATTCCCATCATGGGGGTGTTTATTCCCAGATAACCATCCCCATCATGATAACCATCCCCTATAGCGGGGTCCGTGATTCCCATTCCCAGATATCCCGCCCAATGAGGTCTTGCAAACACCTCCGAAGAATTTCAACATATCCCGTCTCGAAAACGCATGCCCGCGCCTTGCTGCGCCGATGCGAGACCGCCAGTGGAGCCCCAGTCAATTGTAAAACACAAGGAAATATCGAGCGACAGGATCGCCTTGGTGGAGATGGGGGTTGTCGGCGGCGAGGCGAGGACCTGGCCCTGAATAGAGAGGGAGGAAAGCTCGAGCAGGGCCGCTGTTGAACATTATTAATTCTAAAGAATAATTATTGTTGGGACCCCTGGTGCACGGCCCCCCTGCGCCGCCTAGGCCGCAGCTACATTTTCATCATTTTCGTGAGGAAGCCTCAGGTAATTCGATGTGATCAAGATCCGGTTGTTTTGTTCCCCCCCGCTTTCCCTTGCAAAAAACACTATAAAATGACATTTCTTGTTCTAATATAATCAAATTTCAAGAATCCCTTGCAAAAAATAAGGTAAAGTGGACATTCGCGCGCGCAAGACGAAATCCTTCCAAAAGCTTAGTGTTCGGAGCGATTTTAACATAAAAACATCAAAAAACCAATGGTTTTTCAACAAAAAAATGTCAAAATCTCATCCCGCGCGCTCTTGCGGATTCGTAGGAAAACCAACACTTTTTAAACATTTCTGTCAAACGGGCTTTTGCGAGCAACTTTTTCGAACTTCTGCGACAACGGTTGCGCACCTGCCAGGGCCATCATCCCTGTCAAATAATACCATGCGGGACACATTCGTTTTTTCTTCGCGCGCGCACGCCGAAATCTCCAAAAACCATTGGGTTCTTAAGAATTTTAGCACCGCGCATCATAAAATCACACGAATCGCACCGTAGGTCCTCGAAAAACACCTGCACGACTTTTCAAAATTTCTACCCGCGCGCGCTGTCCGATTCTACCCGAACGTAGGCTTAACAACTTCTGTGGGGTGTGTACTCCACGCAAGTGTAGTAGCCACGGTCGTCCGCAGGCCACGAAGTGAAGTGTCCGAACGTCATAGGGCGGGAAGCTGGGTGTGGGTGGTGGCGAAGAGTCGTGTGGATATTTGGTAGAGCTTGCACTGCCCCCCCACAAAGTGGGGGTATTGGCTGGCGTCGCATGAAAACCCTGGCACTGGTGAGAACACTGAGCGTTCGGGTAAAGTGATTGTTGTTGTTGTTGTTGTTGTTGTTGTTGTTGTTGTTGTTGTTGTTGTTGTTGTTGTTGAACTCTCATTCTTGAAGAATAATTATTGTTGATCCCCCCCCACCGGTGCACATTGATTTTTTTCGATTGAAGTGCCACCCCCGGGGCTCGCACCTTGTTTTTTCTCAAGGAAAGTCTTCCTGCTCAAACTGTGCCCCTGCCCCCCGGGCTACAACAACAACGGCTCCCGCCTGAGACTTCCTCGATTTTTACTCAGGACCCCCGCTCCCGCCTGAGACTTCCGCGCAATTTACTCAGGAAAGGCGCTCCCGTCTGAGACTTCCTCGCAATGTAATCAAGACCCCCGCTCCCGCCTGAGACTTCCGTGCAATCTACGTGGGAACGGCGCTCCCGCCTAAGACTTCTTCGAATTTTACTCAGGACCCCCGCTCCTGCCTGACATTTCCGCGCAATTGACTCAGGAATGGCGCTCCCGCCTGAGACTTCCTCGCAATTTAGTGAGGACCCCCCTCCCCCGCCTGAGACTTCCGTGCAATTTGCTCAGGAACGGCGCTCCCGCTTGAGACTTCCTCGCAACTTAGTCAGGGCCCCCGCTTCCGCCTGAGATTTCCTCACAATGTACTCAGGACTGCGCTCTCGCGTGCGACGTCCTCACAAATTATTCTGGAATTGCGTTTCGGCGCTCAGGAACCACGCACGCGCCAAGGACGCCTTCACAACGTGGTATCTTCCCTCTTCCTTCGTCCTTCCCCCTCCCCTTCCTCCCACTCTCCCTCGTTCTTCCCCTCCTCCTCTTGCGGGGCCCGCGCCAATTCCAATGGCGGGCAGAGAGATGTACGCCCCCGAAGGATTGTCCGCCCGTTCCGGTTTGCCCGTACGTCTAAGCCCGCCGGCCCCAGCAAAGAGAAATAATCCCCCCGAAAGGGGTGTGATCGAAGACGAAGAGGGCGGGCATCGAGGGTGTAGGGTATACGTGTTGAATGACCCGCGGGCAAGTAAGAGCGTACAGCCTTAAAATGGTTGTTGTTGTTCTTGTTGTTGTTGTTGTTGTTGTTGTTGTTGTTGTTGTTGATACAGGCGGGGCAAGCCCCCCCGGGGGGGGAGGGGGGAGGGGGGGGGGGAAAACAACACAACACAACGCACCCCTACAGGAGGATCCTGTGGGATCCGTACAGGGTTCCATAGGATTCCCACACGACCCTTACAGGGTTCCATAGGACGCCCATAAAACCCCTACAGAGTTCCATCGGACTCCCATTCGACCCCCACAGGGTTCCATCGGAGTCCCATAGAACCCCTACAGGGTTCCATCGGACTATTTCGGCGCACCCCTCACGCGGCTCGTGGCCCTACAGGGGGCGCAGCCGAAGGCTTCGGGACCATTTCGGCGCACCCCTCACACGGTTCGTGGCCCTACAAGGTGCGCAGCCGAAGGCTTTCGCGGCCCCACATGTGGCGCACCCGAAGGCTTCGGGCCCATTTCGGCGCACCCCTCACACGGTTCGTGGCCCCACAGGGGGCGCAGCCGAAGGTTTCGGGCCCATTTCGGCGCACCCCTCACACGGTTCGTGGCCCCACACGGGGCGCAGCCGAAGGCTTCGGGACCCTTTTTCGGCGCACCCCTCACACGGTTCGTGGCCCCACAGGGACCGCACCCGAAGGTTTCGGGCCCATTTCGGCGCACCCCTCACACGGTTCGTGGCCCCACAGGGGGCGCAGCCGAAGGCTTTCGCGGCCCCACATCGGGCGCACCCGAAGGCTTCGGGTCCATTCGGCGCACCCTTCACACGGTTCGTGGCCCCACATGTGGGCGCAGCCGAAGGTTTCGGGCCCATTTCGGAGCGCCCC